GTTGTAGAGCTTCCACTGGGCCAGCTTTCCCATGGTTCCATATGATAGCTGTTTGTCCTATAGTTGGTAGTTTCAATGTTGTTGTGGGAGGCAGCACGCACAGGTCTGTACCTTACGCTGCCATCTTGGTTCTCCTGGGTCTGCTTCTTGAGTGTGTCTCCCATGGGTGCGAGGAGTTGAAGTCTGCAATTTGTTGGGTTAGGCTGCAAAAGCGCAGGTGGGTCTTTTTGTGCCCCTTGCACAGCTTGGATGGGGATGTAAATTGATTAGGGCTGGGTCTCAGGGAGTCGCCAGGGTGGAGCAAATAGCAATGACGTCTCCGCGGCTCCTCGCCTCTCTGGGGCTCTGGGACTTCGCGTCCCCCAGTGCCGGTGAGCAGCCGCGCGACAGAGCCTCCCTCGCTTTCTGACGGCTGCAAGGCCGTGCCACCTCTCCCCATAGGGTCTGGTGCCTCATGATCCCGCCTGAACCAGCTCAGTGGATTCGAGAGTTTGTAAAAGCGCAGGCGTTTCCTCTTGTGCCTCTGGCACAGTCTGGATGGGAATGTAAATTGAGTAGGGCAGGGTCTCAGGGAGTCGCAGGGGCGGGGCAAATAGCAATGGCGGCGTCTCCGCGGCTCCTCGCCTCTCCGGAACATCGGGACTTCGAGTCCCCCAGTGCGGGCGAGCAGCTGCGTGCCAGAGCCTCCCTCGCTTTCCGACCGCTGCAAGACTGTGCCGCCTCTCCCCGTGGGGCTTGGGGCCTCAGAGACCCGCCCCGAGCAATCCGATTGAAAAAAAACCGCGCATCCAGTTGCAGCCCGCCTGGCGTGCGACTGTGTACCTCTGTTTTTGGCGCCTCTGTAGCTCCTACTCAGTCTCACTGCGCTTCCTTCTCTCCTTCCAGTTGTAGAACTTCCACTGGGCCAACTTCCCCATGGTTCTGAATGGTGGTTGTTTGTCTTATAGTTGGTAGTTTCAATGATGTTGTGGGAGGCAGCCTGCACAGGTCTACTCCCTACGCCGCCATCTTGGTTCCTCCCAAATGCCTGATTTTTAATCTAGGGGGCTGGATACAGCCTTGCTAGCTCCTGCTTGGCCTTTTCAAAGACTTCTGCCTTAGCAATATCCTTGGGATTGGTTTATACGCCTCATTGCCTTGTGGTTGGTTATCTGAAACCTGCTTGTTTTAGCAACAATCCATACATTTTAAAGTTTGTCTCTCCTGTGTGCCCTTCTTTCCACGCCCAGTTGGGTTACCTAGCAATTCTGCCTAGCTGGGTTCCCCAGTTTTACTTCCTCTCTCCCCCAGCCCCACCACCACCATGGTCCCCATTCCTGACTACCAGCTTCCCTCTGTCTCCTCAGTTACAGCAAACTGATATCAAGAAGCAAGTCCCTTCTTCCCACTCCAGGCTTCCAGTCTCCCCAAGCACCCCTTATGGGCAAACTTTACAGGAAATATGGTTTGCTGTGTCACAGCCACAGCATCACCAGAGTACAGAAGGATGGGTTTGAACTTCAAGATATACCTTCATAACCAGCATAAGGAGTAAACCCATGATTACAACTATCAAATATCCTAATATAGATGCAGGGAAGTCCTAGTAAACAGAGCTGTTATAGTGGTAATTTAAGACAATTATAATATATTTTTTAAATATACTATAACTATGGTTAAAAGTACAACTTCCCCTGGCCATGTAGCTCAGTTAGTTAGAGCATCATCCCAGAGGCTAAAAAAAAAAAAAATTTAAGTGTAACTTAAGTAAGGGGATAATGTTGAACTTGACCCAAACTGTGCTCCCAGAAGATAGTGATGGCTAAAGAAACCCCCACACGCACACTATTCTGTGTTCCAGAAGACAGCTTACTGGGAAGAACCACCACCTTTGCTCAAGACTCACTTAGAATAGACTCACAGAGAGCTTCCTGTTTACCTGTGATGAGGCCAGACACAGACCCTCCAAATTCTCTTTTTTGTCTCATAAATGATTCACTGAACTGTTTGTCCCCACTGGCCAATCTGCACAAAATGCCTGCTCACTTTCCTTGATCAAACTTTATTCTGGCTTCCCTCCCTTCCCAAGCCTTTGAGCTTTCATCCACCCTCAGCCTAAGCCAGCATTGGGATGCAGAACAAAGCCCTAATGGCCCCTTCCCATCTGAGCTCAAAGATGCCTCCTGCGTATCCTGTTGTAGGCAGTGGAAATGACACCAGGTGTCTGACCAATGGGGTCAGACCAAACCTGGGTTCAGCAACCTCGGTACTTGGGTTCTGGCTAGGAAAGTATTCAGAGCCAAGACCCAAACTGTAAGAGAACATTTATTTGGTAAATCGCAGAGGTAGAAGTAATTCCTAGAAGTGAGCTTAGGAAACAAGTTCTAGAGATAAAGGAAGGGCCCTTGGAGCTTGGGAATGAGGAAGCTAATGGTAACATGCTCCCAGAAGGAGAGCACTGGATCCTCCAGTCCTACGGGTTTTAAGGGTGGGGATTTTAGGGGAGGCCCCAGGGGAAGATCTCAAAGGAATATTCAGCAGTTTTCCAGGTGTGTCCTTTCAGGGTTATGGTCTCCACTAACTGATTGGCCAGTACCAGGGCAGGGAGAGGGTCTTTATTCAATGCAGTTGGTCCTGAGGCTGTTTTGTTGCTTGACTGGGCCTGGAGCTGAAATACTACTGAGGCCTAGATGTTATCTCTAGGTAGGAAAGGCCAAGTGGTCCTGATCCAAACTGTGTGCCAGCAATATGCTAGGGGAGGAAAAGTCACCCTGGGGGCTAGGTCCCATCCTACAATGGATTGTCTGTTGCTATGCACCTGGGGCTTTCCACCCTAGTGATCTTCTGTACCTGGCCCATCGACCTTGCTCTGCTCTCCTCTGTCTAACTGCCTACAACAATCCCACTCCCTGAGAAAGGATCTTTCTAGCCATTGGACTCCTCCCTATAAGAGACCTTTTCTGCCTGGCCTTTCAAAAGCTTACATATCTTACAATGGAAGCATTTTCCCTATTACACCCTCTCCCCCTTGTAGTCCAATAGACCCCTTCCCTGTTGTGGTAATTCCTTTGAACAAGTCTTCCCTTCACCTAAATTCAGATTTGGTTTTATTTGACAGTTTAATGGTGCTGTGACCCAGATCAGGATTATACCTCCCCTAGGGACCCCCACATTCAGCAATTTGAGATCCTTTGGTGAGTTCCATTCTTGAGCTAGTGCTCAGGACATCTTGTCTGTTGAAGTTACTTTAATTCTTTCCAGCAAAAGAGAATATTTTCCAACAAAGATTCTTCTTTGGCCCTCCTGTAAGACCTCTTCTGTTCTCCCTTTGTTCCTCAGCCCAGGGATTAGGCCAGGGAATTAATGAAGTGGGATTCTTTCTCAGCTTCTTTAAAGTTTATTTTTGGGGATTAACTTCTGTTAATCCCACAGATAACTCTTACTTGATCCGGCACCCTCTATCTGTCTCTCCCACTGACTAGTTGTCATTATGGCATTAATTTAGTTTAATATCTATCTTCAGGAGCAAAATTTACCAAAGGCAATTCAGGACTCCCAAGGCCTTTTGGGGAAATTTGGTATCTTCCCAAACTAGCTCATTTGAGACCTTTCCCTTCCCACTATCTCCATTTCTCCTTTTTATCACCTTAACATTCTCTTCAGCTGCCTTAAACCCTTTGATCTATCCTGTCAGCACCTCTACTGACTCTACCTCCTATGCAACCCTTCCCTACCCACTCCAGCCCCTTGAGATATAGGCTCCCTCTATCATGCTCACCTCTTCTTCACCTCATTGGTGAAGGAAGAATGATCCCCTGCCCAAGTAGTACGAGATGGCCAAGGTGGACACTGGACAGATGAGATTGATAACAGTTTATTAGTCACAAAGACACAGCCTGGGGAGGAGGACACTGCATGCCTTCATGAAGAGACAGAAGGAAGCTAGGTAGACAGGGAGGGGACCATGGGGGAGGGTGGGAGGGGTGGGGATGAAGAGAGAAGTGTAGGACAAAACCAGAAAAAATGTAGAAAGTTGTAGAAGGTTCTCAGAGAGGGAATTTTGTCATTGTCAAAGCTGGCTAAGGTTTTTTTGTTTGTTTGTTTTTAAAGGTCTGATGGTTTCATTTATAAGAAGTTTTTTAAAGCTTTAGTGTCAAATATTACACAGATTTAAAAAAACAGAATTTGGGGTTCTTGCTGTTAAAATGATAAAATTTTCTTAGATTACTGGTCTGCTCTTAATAAGAGGTTGTAATCAAGTTTTTCTTTACCTTCTGAGTAATCTGCCTAGAAGGCAAAAAGATTCTATGTCTTAGAATAATTTTCTGTGCCTTATGTTTATCATGTTCTTGGTTTTTTAAAAAATTCTTCTCATTTTTAAAAGAGCTATGGTTATGTATAATTATGTTATCCCAAATGTTTGCTTTTAATATCTTCCACTGCCACCTTGACTTTGGACTGACTTCAGTTTTGCATACCACATAAACAAACACATGTTCTTGCCAGTTACATTATTTTTGGAAATAGTTCAATGATAATCGACAGGGCTAGAATTTATAACCCCAAAGGGTATGCTATAGACAACGTATAGTCTTTCACTGAAACAGTATCTTTTAAAAACAGTTTTCATTGATAGTGTAGCAGGGGTCCTCAAACTTTTTAAACAGGGGGCCAGTTCACTGTCCCTCGGACCGTTGGAGGGCCAGACTATAGTTTAAAAAAAAAACTACGAACAAATTCCTATGCACACAGCGGTGGCAAAAACACCCAGCGGGCCGGATAAATGTTTTCGGTGGGCCACATGTGGCCCGCGGGCCGTAGTTTGAGGACCCCTGGTGTAGGGGTTCAAAACAAGTCACCCAAGATGTGCCCCTCTGCCATGTGAATTATTTAGATCTGAAAACGGTCAAAGCCCAGAAGGCTCATGAATAACCTTTGACGATCCCCCTAACTGCCTAAAAGAATTTAGACCAGCCGTGGGCAAACTACGGCCCGCGGGCCGGATCCCGCCCGTTTGAAATGAATAAAACTAAAAAAAAAAAAAAAGACCGTACCCTTTTATGTAATGATGTTTACTTTGAATTTATATTAGTTCACACAAACACTCCATCCATGCTTTTGTTCCGGCCCTCCGGTCCAGTTTAAGAACCCATTGTGGCCCTTGAGTCAAAAAGTTTGCCCACCCCTGATTTAGACAAAGGGACTTTCTGTAAAAAGTGAGCTACCATTATAGATGAGTATCTATAATAATAAAAACGTAATATGCTAATTGGACCAGACGTCCTTCCCTACGACCTTCCGGATGAAGCCAGGGCTGCCAGGGAAGCCTGGGTTCTGGGTGTCAGAGGGAAGCCGGTGCCAGCAGCCAGGGGAAGGAAGGCCTACTCTTGCA